TTTTTTTTTTTTTTAGTAGTAACTTTGTTTTGTGGTTAGTACTTTGTTTTGTTTAACACTTAAAACACTAAGCTGAGTGTAAGTTCATGCAAATTAAGATAGTTTAATTTCAGAAGGCCTCAGGTTTAAATCTGGATGTTTTCTGGCCAAAACCACATGCTAATACACGTCTTCATTTTAGCCTAGGCCTAGGTGCTTAGGCATTTGCTGGTCCTGCTACAGAGAAACCTCTATCCTAGTGCTGCTCGAAATGTAAGCTCTTGCCAAGCATAGTGGCACATGCCTACAATCCCAGCACCTGGAAGACTAAAGCAGGATTGCCACAAGTTTTAGGCCAGCCTAACCAATATTGCAAGACCCTGTTGCAACAAACAAATTTAAAGCCCTTAGACCTACATCAGAACCACACTGTATGGTCCTTGAAGTGATTTCTGAGCATGGTGGTGTACACCTGTAATTCCAGATATTCAGGAAGCTGATGCAGGAGGATCACAAGTTCAAGACCAGCCTGGGAAATTTAACAAGACCTTATATCAAAATAAAAAGGTAGCGATATAGCTCAGGGATAGGGCACCCCTGGGTTCAATCCCCAGTATGCCCCTCACCCTGAAAAAAATGATTCCTAAGTGATTTGTTGTTGTCGTTGTTGTTTCTGTCTTTTTGAGACAGGGTCCCCCTATGCAGTTCAGGCTGGCCTTGAGCTCACTTTGCAGGCTGGTCCTTGAACTCGCAATGATCCTCCTGCCTCAGCTTCCCGAGTGCTGGGATTACAGGTGTGCACCACCACAACCGGCTCCTAAGTTTTAACAGAACACCTACTAAATCAAAATTGACCTTAAACCTGCATTTTTTAAAGACTTCTCTCAGGTGACATTTACAGTGAAATTAGAGCCACTGTTCTAATCTTACAAATGGAAAAAAAGAAAAGATTAAGTATTAAACTTTCAGAATACCAAATAGGCTTCTGAAAATAGAGTAAGGCCCTTATCACATCTTTACTGACTTAATTTTACCTTACATTGTTTTTCAGTTTTCCCTCACAACACTTGTAAAATCATTACATGTCAGCCTCACTTCCCCAATTTCATGATTAATAAACAAGAAATTTGAGCTGGAATTAGATCTTATCCACCACTGTTCTTACAACCACGCCATTAATACCTAATGCCATTTCCCTCCACCAACCAATATGGCATCTAATTCAGAATAAAGTATTTTAAATCCCATGTTTAAATTGCATCAAATTAAGGTTAGGCGTAAGACTGGTACACTGCGCTAAATTATATGAGAAGACTACATGGATGAACAATGTTAGTGGTATTTTTGTTATCCACCAAATAATTATTTTTTTTAAATCAGTGCTTATGGGCACATAATTAAATTCCACTTAGAATATCCTTAACTTAGGGTCAAGCCGTTGGCTTTGTGTGCTAATTAGATATATTTGGTAGTTTCTGAGGTAAGTTTGCAACCAGGGAAATGGGTAACGTTAAACAGTTACATCACTGACCTAACCAGTACCATTAAGGACTTCTAAATGTATTTTAGGCCATGCTAATGTTATCAAAACTAAACTATAGACAAGATTACTTACAACTATGCAGAAAACCTGAGCATCCTACCTTTACTTCCTATACATTCACATTCTTTACTTCTTCTCTTCAAAATATCCATTGCACCAAATTCTACTTTCCACCAGCCCTTAAGATTCCCTGTCACTCATCACAAGGAACACTAAAGATAGCGCTGGCACCTCTGATGTATATTCATTATTGACAGCACTTACCAAAGCTAACCTGAAATTATGCGTTTCTTCTCTCCTGACATGCTGCTCAGTATTTCCTCTAAACCAGTAGGGCAAACCTTTCCCCTTGTGTCCCCTTCTCAAAACACTTTGCATAGGGGAAGTTGGAGCTAAAGAACTCACTAATGAACAGTACTACAATTCAATAAATATACTCTGATATTAAGTCTAATGTACAAATATGATAAAAGATTGAAAATGGATGGAACCTTGTCCAAGTGTGGTACTGGCACTTAACAAGGCTCGTGAGCATTCATTTCCAAAGGAGTCATGTTCCAGTCTGTGATAAACCTATTTTCTAAACAGATTTGTTCTTTAAGAATACACACAAGAGGTTTTCTTCTGTTATTTTGGTGCTTTTTGTTGTTTTGTTTTGTTTTTGGCTACTATCTACACTGAACACTTCATAGCGATAAACCATTTTCATTCTGGGATAACATCCCTGATCAAGTCAGGAATGTTCTTCAGTGCTGCTGCTGAATGATCTGCTCCGGATATGATTTCTCAGTTGCTCTATAAGTTCAGGATTCTGTTGTTGTATCTGCTGAGCAAACTGCTGTCCCCTGCAGAGAAACAAATTTGTAAAGGCCAGTGTGTCCACATAGCATTATTACATTGCAGAGTTCTTTACAAGAAACAAAATATTCAAGCTAAAAAAGTGTCTGAATTGGATGAAACCTACTATTCCAGTGATTAATCACAAAGTGTCAAATATATTGCTCTTAAGAGTTCTTAGACTACTAGGGGCTGGGGATTTAGCTCAGCGGCAAAGTGCCTGCCTGGCAAGCGCAAGGTCGTGAATTCGGTTCCCGGTACCGGAGAAAAACCAAAAAACCAAAAAAAAAAGTTCTTGGACTACTAGTTTATCATATAGCAGAGAATAATACCCAGTTTGCAGTGCTTACAAAGATCACCTAACAACTGATTCTCTAAAAGTGAAGTTAGTGCTGGGGACATAGCTCAGCAGCACAGCGCCTGCCTGTCAAGCAAAAGGTCATGAGTTTGATTCCTGGTAATTAATAAATAAATAAATAAAGCGAAGTTAAACAAATATCTAAGTTTGTAACTTCAGGTGCATGTATTAGACATCACAATTCATGCCACTTAAAGATCACCAAAAAAATTCAACATTCTGCCAGGTGTGGTGGCGCACGCCTATAATCCCAGCACTCGGGAGGCTGAGGTAGAAGGATTACCATGAGCTGGCGGCCAGCCTGGGCTACACAGTGACTTCAAGGCCAGCTTGGACAACATAGTGAGACCCTGTCTCCAAAATACCCTCCTTAAAGGAGCAATATTCTAACTGATTATATGGAAGGTGGGTGTGGTTGCACACGTTTGTAATCCCGGGACTCCAGATGCTGAGCCAAGAGAACTTCTATAACTTTGAGGCCAGGCTGGGCTACATAGTGTGCAGGCTGAAATACATAGTGAGACCATGTCTAAAAAAGGGTTTATGGTCATGACCATAAACAACATATGGTACTTGTGACTTCATGTAGAACTTCCAGTTACAGCATCAGATACAGACTCAAACAGTATCTCAGCAAATATGGATAGAGGTGAAAATACTATGCTCAAATAATGAGAAGATACAGAGTTCCTCTAGTGATAACAGGCACTGAAAAAATTTGAGTAAGTTTCCAAAATGGTCTCAGTATTAATGTATCCAACATGTGATTTATTTTTTCAGTGCTGGGAATACAACCCAAAGCTTCACAAATACTACACAACTGGGCTAACACTAAATATTATTTTAAAATAAATATATATTTATATTTAAACTAATACATATTTTAAGTAAATATTTGACTTTCAGTTACATCCCTGAGTAGTTATTCACATCTGTCAAAAACCTTTTCCTTGGGTCTTCACTAGTAAAGGATTTTTTTTTTAACATATGAGATCATAATATATTGGACAAATGATGTTTACTGTTGCCATGCCATCAAAAGTAGCACGTCACCAACTCCTTAGGGTCCTCTGTAAATAAAGGTGAAAGTATCGATATCACCACATAAAGAAACTGAAGACCCTCATTTAGTACTGACAACAAAACTCAAGTAATAACAAATCAGCATTGGGCTGGGATGGGGGCTCAGTCGTATTGTACTTCCCTAACATTTGTGAGGCCCTGGGCTCAGTCTTACAGCCATAAAACAAAACAACAGACTAAATATAGACCTCACTCTGCCACGAATGCTATAAATTCCTTAGTAAGTCACTAACTTGTACCTCAGTTTCTCTAGCTAATGAATAGAAATATAAATTGCCTACCATTTTACTACCATCTATCCTTCAAGATTCTTTTGGCACTTGAAGATCCTGTGTTGGGGTTAGGGTAGAATGTCAACTTGATTTACTTTAGGGTCTTCTCTGGGAATTGGTGGATCACCTGTCTGGATGGATCACAGAGGCATGGCCTTGGGGTCTACCTCTGACCCCTCACCCTTCCTCTCAGGTAGAGTTCCCCTTCTCTGCTTCCAGCCACCAGGACTGAGCAGCTTTGCTCCACCACATCCTTCCACCGTGATGTTTACTGCCTTAGAGCTAGCTGACCATGAACTGAATCTCCTGGACCTTCAGCAAATTAAGCCCGTCCTTTAAGTTGTGGATGTTGGCAGTGTGTACCAGTGATGGGAAAGCTGACTACTACAGATCCCTTGAGATTTGAACCCACGTGATTTCTCAACAGACAGAGCTGGCCTGACAACCCAGGTCTTCTGGAATCCTATCCTTCAATCTAAAAAGTGATTCCTACCTATGAACTTCTTTGAGATTTAATAACTTTACAGAGGCCAATGATATGAACAATAAAAGACAGGAAAGCTCTGATAATCCTAGACAGACAGGAAAGCCCCTAACATCAAAGAGTCCAAAGGAAAGTATACATCTAACTGGGAGAGTAGTTAAATAAAAGAAAAAAAAAAAGGAATCCACACTTGAAAAATAAGGCAATGACAGGATTCATAGTACACCTTATAATAGTAACTCACTGTCAATGGTCTTAACTCTCCAATCAAAAGATACAGACTGACAGGATCAAAAAACAAAATGCAGTCATACACTGCCTATAGGAGGCACATCTAATCCCAAAAGCAGCTCACAGGCTAAAGGTGAAAAGATAGAAAATGGTTCTCCATGCAGCCAGAGACTAAAAACAAAGCAGGAGTAGATATTTTAATTTCAGACACAGCAGCATTCAAGTCAAAACTGGTCAGAAGAGACAAAGATGGCCACTATATACTGGTAAAGGGAACGATTCAATAGGAAGAGATTACAATTTATAAGTTTCTATAAACATAAAAGGACAGAGATCACAAAAAGGACAGACACCAATACAATCACAGCAGGGACTTCAATATTCTACTCTTACAATTAGATCAGCTAGACAAAAACTTAACAAAAAAAAAATGTCAGTTAAACCACACCACTGAACAAATGAACTTAACATATCTACAGGATGTTTCATCCAAGAGCAACAGAACACACATTTTTCTCAGCAGTACAGAGACCTTTTTCTGAATGAGATCATGTCTTAGGCCATAAAACATGCCTATATAAATACAAAAGAATAGAAATAATCCTTGCCATACTATCAGATCATAGTGCAATGAAGTCAGAAATCTAAATCAGAAAAAACCAGAAAAGTTACACAAATACATGGAGATTAAACTTGATATTACTTGAATAATCAATGTAATTATTACAATGAATAATCAATGGATCACAGAAGGAATAAAAAGGCTCTTAAAATTAAATGACAATGGAAGCACACATGCAAAACCTATGGGACACAATGACAGCAGATCTAAGAGGAAAGTGTATAACTGAATCGACTCATTAGAATAGTTGAGCCAGGTGTGGTAGGCACGCCTGTAATCCCAGCATGTGAGTTGAGGCAGGAGGAATGCCACAAGTTCAAGGCCAGCCTGGGCTACATAGTTCAATGCCAGCCTGAACTACAAAGCACGACTGTCTCAAAAAGAAAGAAAAAAAAAGAATTGAGCAATCCTACATAAATAACCAAATGATACATCTCAAAATCCTAGAAAAATAACAAACCAAAGCTGAAATTAATAGAAGAAATTATAAAAATCAGAGCAGAAATTAATGAAATCGATAACTTAAAAAACATTACAAAGGATCAATGAATTGAAGAGTTGGTTCTTTAAAAGGATAAACAAAATTGATAAAACCTTAGCCAAATTTATCAAAAAAAGGAAAGAAAAAGATCCATATCAATGCAATTAGAGATGAAAAAGACAAAATTATAACAGACACTGCTAAAATACAAAGATTTATAACTACTACAAAAGCATGTTCCAATAAACTGGAAAACCTAGAAGAAATGGAGAAATTCCTAGACATGTATTGAATTACCAAAATTTAATGAAGATACAGAAATTCTGAATAGGCCAATAATAGGCAATAAAATAGAGCCAGTAATAAAAACTCTACCAATAAAGAAAAGCTCAGGACACAATGGATTTGCTGCACAATTCTAACAGAACTTCAAGGAACATCTATCTCCAGTATTCTCATCAAACTTTTCAATGAAACTGAAAGGACTGAAAGTACTGCCTAACTCATTCCTGAAAGCTAGCATTACTCATACCAAAACAGGACGGGGACATAGCAAGAAAAGAAAACTGCAGGCCAAACTCCCTTCATGAACATAGACATAAAAAGCCTCAATAAGATACTGGCAAACAATGCAGCAAATCATTAAAAACATCATAGATCATAACCAAATTGATTTCATCCCAGGGACACATGGATGGTTCAACATATGTAAGATAATAAATGTAACACATCATACACAGAGAAACAAGGACAAAATTCACATGATCGTCTCAGTAGATGCACAAAAGGGCTTTGACAAAATCTAACATCCATTCATGATAAAGAAAACAACTCAAAAAATCATTATAGAAATACCTTATCTCAAATTAATGAAAAAGCCATTTATCATAAACCCATTGCCAACATCACACTTAATGGGAAAATACTGAAAGCTTTTTCTCTAAAATCAGGAACAAGGTCAGACATAGTGCACACCTATAATCCCAGCACTTAGGCTGAGGCAGGAGGATCACTGTGAGTTTGAGGCCAGCCTGGGCTACACAGTGAGTTCAAGGCCAGCTTGTACTACATTATGAGCTCCTGTCTCAAAACAAAAAATAAAGTCCCTTCTAGAAGACTCTTAGAATAAATTCAGCAAAATAGCAAGACACAAAATAAATACATAAAAATCAATAGTGTTCCTGTACACCAACAATGAACCCACAGTGAAAGAAATTAGGTAAACAATTCCATCCACAATAACATACAAAATCAAATACTTAGGGATCAACTTACAAGAAAGTGAAAGACCTCTATAACAAAAACTACACTATCATGAGAAAGAGACTGAAGACAACATCAGAAAATGGAAGACAACCCCTGTTCCTGGCTAGGCAAAACCAGTATTATCAAAATGGCTGTATTACCAAAACTTATATATAAATTTAATGTAATTCCAATCAAAGTATGAACAGTATTCTTCACAGAACTAGGAAAAACAATCCTAAAATTTATATGGAACCAGAACAACAAAAGCAATCCTAGGCAACAAGAACAAACCAGGAGGTTTCAAAATCCTGGGTTTCAAATTGTATTACAAAGCAACAGTGACTAAAAAAAAAAAAAAAAAAAAAAACCAGCATAATACTGGCACAAAAACAGACATGCAGATCAATGGAATAGAATAGAGAATGCAGACACAAACCAGGACATTCAGCCTTCTGATTTTTGACAAAGAGGCCAAAAACATAAGCTGGAGAAAAGACAAACTAACAAATGATGCTGGGAAAACTGGTTATCCACATGCAGAGGAATGAACCTAGATCTGTGTCTCTCAACCTGTACTAAAACAAAATCAAATGTATCAGTGTCTCAGATATTACAACAGAAACACTGGCTCAGCTGAAAGATATAATAGGTACAACTCTTGAAGACATAGGCATAGGCAAAGACTTTGTACAAGATATAACACCAATAATAGACAAAATGGGAAAATATCAAAATAAAAATCTTCTGCACAGCAGACCACAGGGTGAAGAGATAACCTACAGAATGGGAAAAAATTTTTGCCAGCTATTCCTCAGAGGACTAGAAACTAAAATATATTTAAAGAGTTCAAAATAATCAGACAATTCCCTGAAATAAATGACTCAATTAAAAATGGGCAGTTGATGTGCATGGGGAGCCACAGGCGGGGAGCACTGGTCTTCTGGCCGGCTCGCTCCCTGCCTCGTAGGAGCCCAGAAGGAGGGCCCTCGGCGCAGGGGGAGCCACGCAGCAGCGAGCGCTGTTGTGCAGCGGCCCTCAGGCCGGCCACAGCCGCTCAATTGAGAACTACCATGACACAGAGAAACAATGACACAATTGGCCCACCATGCACCAGCTGCAGATGCCCACCCAC